TTGAGTAAGTGTCACAAGCCCCATATCTAAAACATTCTTAAGCCACCTGATCAGGTTGCTTGCTTCCCCAATGAAATACAATGAGATCAATATACTTACTTTATTAAATCCATCGCGCCGAGATGCCTTAAAATGTTTGCTAATATATGCTTCAGGTTCTTTTGGAAGAGTTCGGCAAGAATGTCTATTCTATCTAATCCCATTTTCTTTCCAATTAGGTTACAGAGTTCAACCTTTCCCCAAAAAATAATTCTGTCTACTGCAGCCCGAGACTTGAGGTTTCTTTTACCACTTTTTTTCAAAGTTGAGCAGACCATTTCTTCGTAATGGATCACTGGCAACAAAGTCTTCTTTGAAAACTGTGCTTGGTTTTGGTTCTTTATGAAACAATGCTTTGGTGTGCCACAGAGATTCCCAGCCAAAGGTATGCTATCCTCATGTTCTATCGCATCAGCGTATTGATTACTTAACATAGAGGAATAACCACTGTCCTCATTAGATTTACTGTTTTCCAGTGCCTCAATTTCATAGATACCTTCATCAAGTCTCAGGGTTACTTGTTTGTTTTCTTTGTTATGTACAGGTCTTCCTTCATCTTCAAGATCTAAATTTCTGGTGGCTGCATGGTGCGAGTCACTAAGGAGTATTTTCTGATGCTCTTCAGCACAGCTTTTACAAAAGCCTTCCTCATAATTCAAGGGACAGGATTCTTCCAGTCTTGTTTTCTCCACAGCAGATTTCAATGGCATAAACCCAGCGTGAAAAGACGTACAATCAAAATCGCATTTCATTTTGAAAGAGTGGTTAAGGCTTGATTTCATTATTTTGTTTGTATCCTGCAGAAACAACCAGGACAGTGTTACAACACAGCATAAACTGCATCACAAATTCTTTTTCTTATAGAGAACCGACCATGCCTTCCTTCTGCATTATGAGTGTTAAGCTTTTACCTAACTCACCCTCTAGCATGTAAAACACAGACAACTAGTGGAACCAAGGATTTGAGGAGCCACACATTTAATCTATCTAAGATCTTCCCAAAATTAGAGCTTTATGCTGCATATAACTGGGGCAAGAAAACCTACTGGGTGATTTACTCTGTCGCCATTCCACCAGTACAGATTACTTTTGGACGCACCAATGCCTCCACTACCTACCCTAAATGCAGTGGTATACTCAGGAGACCTGTGGTCCCTACAAGGGACACCAGTGGCAGAGGGTCCACGAGTGAGAGCATGCCTGTGCAGGGGTATGGCCAGGCCAGAGCAGCCAGAACTTTGCATCCAAGGCCAGAGGCAATGCTGCCGATGGAGCCAGGTATCTGGCATTTTTCAAAGGGGAGGAGGCGGGGTGGCACAGGAAAAGCTGGAGTACTCGCATGCATACATAAATTGCAATGGAAAGCAGCGACCCTTAAACAGCGGTGAGAGGAAATAAAGGTTGCTTACAAGCATGACTGTAAGAAGGTGGAAGGTCGATAGATATTATAAGGAAATTGAGCTTTTCTTGCCCGGTTTCTTTCCCCTCCCCCCGAAGTGTGGGGCTATCTATAGTAACAATTGCGGGGGGGATGGGCAAGGGCTGAAGGAAGCCATCTCTGTCCTGTTAAATCTAAGGGGAAAATAATTTTCAACATGCTTTGCAATCCGTAGGAAAAATAAGCTTCCCCCTCCTCCCCATTTGAGCTGGTATTTTAAGAGATTTAAAGACATCCAGCAGTTTTGGTAAGAAGTACTAGAAAAGTGTGCTTCATGAAGGTTTCAGAGAAGCAGCCCCTTCTTCGTACCTACGTTTGGTGGAAGAAAGGAGCAAATAGGCTTTTGGCTTTGTACACTCTGAGTCGGGGGCGCGATGCAAGCCCCCGCTAAGCCGCCTCCTCCTCCTCCCCTTCCCCCCTCGCTTGCGCGCCGCGAGCGAGCAGAGCAGCTTTTGGGCTGAAACCCTGCAGAACTGGGAAATGTCCCTTCCCTCTCCCGCGTGTTTCGGGGCGCCAGGGCCGGCCCCGACCCCCCGGCGGAGCGGGCTCGGC